TTCAACTAGCTGGTGGTATGTCATGGGCACCAGAGTAAGACAATTATTATGCTACACAGGATACAAACCATGGATATCGATCGGGGGCAATGAAACAACAGAAGAATTTTAAACTCTTCTAGTGGTGATGTTTATTCCAGTAGACACCATCATCATTCTCTTGGGCAACAAGATATTGATGATCATATGCAGAGGTTGAGATTGACATCACATGAAAGATACATGCCTTATGGACATCATCAAAGTAGCGATATAGAATATAGTTATGGATATGGTATCTCTTAGGCAACTTGAGAGCATGGTTCAAAGTCGCGGTATCGGCCATCTACTCGAAGGGTGCTAATACACATCGGTCGCGGTGTCGGCTGATACGCTCAAAACGCAAGATAGGAGGTCCAAAAAAATTTGAAAAAATTATAGAAAAATCTAAAAATATAATCATTATTCATGCATCATATGTCTATAATACATTAAAAACACGTTAAATATAATTAAAATGAATCATAAAATCGCTATCAAAAATAATTATCATTATCAATGTTCAATGTAAGCAGTTAGGAATATTTTGAGTTATAATCATTGCCACATTGAATGATGATGCTCAAAATCGTTATTGTCTCTAGGATACTACAAATTCAGATATCGTCCACCATAAGAATAAGAGTACAATTGTGAATGCGGGTTTGATTAGGTTGATTGAGTTAATTGGTTAGATAACTCATAATTAGAGTAGTGTGGCTGTGGAGATTGTACTGGCTGATTCCCATGTTGATAGTATCTAAAATCACGATATTCACGGCCATTTCTAGCAGAAGACTGATCATATTCATAAAAGTTAACACTATCCGATGTCGTGTTAAAAGATCCATCATAATGTCTCCTTGGAACACGATCATAGTAGCCACCAGTACTAGTACTAGTAGATCTCTTAAGATGCGTAGGGCGATGACCATAATGTCCAGCACTATTAGTACTAGTACACCTCACAAGCTGCGCAGGGATATCATATCTATATGATCCATGTGCATAGCTATATTTTATACCACTACTTTGATAATGTCCATAAGGCATGTATCATTTATGTGATGTTAATTTCAAACTCTGCATATGATCATCAATATCTTGCCGACCAAATGAATGATGGTGGCGTCTATTGGAATAATCATCACCAATGGAAGAGTTTAAATTCTTTCTTTGTTTCATTGTCCCTGGTCGATATCCATAGTATGTATCCTGTGTGGCATAATAATTGTCTTGCCCCTGTGTTCATGACATACTACCAGCTATCTGAGTATCACTCATGGTTCAAAGTCGCAGTATCGGTCATCAACTCAGAGGGTACTGATACACATCGGTCGCAGCGCGGTATCGGCTAATACGCTCAAAATGCAAGATAGAAGCTCTAAAAAAATTTGAAAAAATTTTAGAAAATTTTAAAAATATAGACATCATAATTATGCATCATATGTTCACAATACATCGAAAAACACATTAAACATATTTAAAATGAAACATAAAATCGCTATCAAAAATAATTATCATTATTAATGTTCAATGTAGGAGCCATTCTACCGTGTCACAAAAAATAATACTTGTAATATTTATTAAAGTTAAAGTTATAATTACATTTAAAGTTAAATTTACATCAAAGTTATATTTTTTTACATTAAAGTTATAATTTTTTTAATCATTAAACAACAATCCTTGTAATATTTATTCAATAAATAAGTAACTTAAATATAAAAATAATTTAATTGTAACATTTAATTTTACATCATTTGAAATAGTACATATATTTTTTATCAAAAAAAATAGAACTTATACCCACTTATTTATTATTATAAAATATTAATGTATCTAATTATTACATTAAAGTTATAATTTTTTTGATCATTAAACAACAATCCTTGTAAAATAATGTAAAACAGGTTGTTGAAGGGAATCGAACCAGTGAGCTACAAGGTGCGAATTTGCATCTCTATCCAATTGATCTACTATTTTTATATTACTTTTAAGACAAGTATAACTATTTAAACAACACTCACTCAATAAAAAAAAACAGTAGACTCAGCATATATTTCAGGCGAAAACTTCTCATCAGCAAAAAAAAACAGATGCATACTTATCTCTTCAGAGTCTCAGACAAAGACTTTTCTCGTCTTCTTAGTCACGATGAGAGAGAGAGAGAGAGAGAGATGGGTGTAGACAGAGACGAGACCATCACGATCCCTCATTGATAAAGAGAGATCCACTCACGAAGAACCGAAGAAGATCGCAACAAAGAACCGAAGTATCTTGATTTCACACAAAAACAGATGAATATGCAGACCTACTGGTATGTCGAATCTTTAGTATTCTTCGTTTTTATAATTGAAAAAAAGGGTTTTAGATTTCAGGGTTCATGGGTTTCGAGTCTCGACTCATAGTGGGTCTGCTTTATTTCACATCCTTTTTTTTTTTGGATTTTTCTTCAATTTTCAGCAATGATTTGAGTGTTTTTTTAAGCTTTAACATAGTAGGTCTTGGATTTTTCTTCTTTCTTTTAGATTTGGGGGGATTTGTTCACTGACTTAGTCGACTCGACAAGATTCCGATTTATCTCGGTCGAGTTGAACCGATTGAACACTGAGTCCTTTGATTTCGAACGATATCGCCGAGATATCGGCAATACATGTTTAATTCGTGATTTTTACGTTTCGTATACTGTTATCGTATCGCCATAGGCAGAGTCGAATACGACTCGGCCAAGTTGTATCGGACTCGGCCGATACCTTGAACCATGGTATCACCACCATCTCTAGTAGTCCCTCCACCACCATTCTTGTTGCCCTCGTCATTATCTCTACCATGATTACTAGCGTCATCATCATCATTACTACGACCACAACCACCATAAGTATCAGTAACATTATCATCATTGGAAGAAAAAGAATCACTAGAACTAACAAAAATTCTCTTAGCCTTTTTACCCTTATTGGTTAGCCTCGTACCTTTTCCAGATCTTTTGATAGTGACATAGTTGCTAGATGTTGAAGCCGTATTAGTGTCCCCTTCATCAACTATATCTCATCCACTTCCACCTACTTTAATGCCGGGAACACCTTCATTCAACCAAGCTAAGTTATCAAGTGATAAAATTGGTCCCTCCCCCTCTCTTATCCACTCATCTAATATGTTCTCATCATTAAAAATGTAGTTTAAATCAATTGGGTTATAAAAACATCATTTTTATACCGATATGTCAAATGTCTAACTCGCAACCGCATATTATAATGCACAAAAACTAGCTTATGTAACTTTTCATTGTCAATCGGTTGCGAAGTTTTGTATGGATCAGCGACCATGTACTCCAATTTCTTTCATACCCTGATCATGAACATGTTTGACTTAAAACTTTGATTGCAATTTTTTGTAGATGGGGATCTTCTTCACCATAATTGATCTGCCATTTAGCAACAAAAAAAAATGTATAATATTAGTATTTGTCCATAAGAATAACAAATGATACTTTAATAAATACATATAGTTTAAATAATAAACTTGGAAGGGAGGCATTTACAGCTTTCCTAGTGAGTGCATTCCCAAACTCATCATGTTTGTCAGTATATAATGTAATTTGTAATTTATTGTGTAATGTATTATGTATGCGATATATATATATATATATATATATATATATATATATTATAATAAATATTATAAACAATCGTCATACGTCATTCATTGCCCTAGTTGGTTTATTCAAATCTGGTTCAAATCTTTTAACAACCTCTTTCAAACTAGATCTTACCTCAGGACGGTTGGAAAATTGATTAGAATATTGAAAAATTGGATTTAAGAAATAAGCTGCAAATTTTTTGACAATTTAATGTAAGTTAGTGCAAAAGTATAATATTTTACAAGTTAATAAACAATAAAAATTTTATATTTTTAAATACTTATACCAGTTGTATGCAAGTGTATGTGCAATTGAGTCTCCCATCTTTTGTTAATCTTGGCCAAGTATTTTCCTCCAATTTGACTGAATATTGTATGGCTAGTTTAGCCCTATCCATGGCCTCATAAACAATTGATAAAGTCGATTTTTTGTCTTGATCAACTATCTTTGATACCCTAACAAGAAGCTCCATGACAGATTAAACTTCTGTAGCCTTCTTCCAAAATTAGTCGGTCAAAATAAGGTTTGAGATTATATCTTTTGTTTTTTTTCTTTTCTTTTCTTGTCTTTATTGAACTCTCGCTATTCATCGGCGGTGCATATTATTTTCAAGTCCGATTCAAAACGGATAAGACTTTCAATGGCGATGAATTTAGTGGCAAATCGTGTTATACCTGGCCTCAATAAATTTGTCTCTAGTATGTTGCTTCATTAAGTTCACCACTTTGAAATTGTTGCAGATAAAGGATGTGATCGTCTTAGCATCATCTATGATTTTGTTGATTATTTTCATATGATCAATATCTTTTAGCATCAAATCGATACAATGGGCTGCATAAGGAGACCAAAATAGATGTTTTCTTTTATCCATCAACATCTTACCAGCTGCTTTAAAGCGTGCTTCATTGTCGGTTGCTATATGTACTATATTTTCTTTTTCAACTTCATCAACAATTTTATCCATAAGAGAGAAAATATAGTCAGCAATTTTTGAAATATTGGTGGTATGAACTGAAGTATGGTGGTGAATCATACTACGGTGACAATAAATCAAGAAATTGATAATGGGTTTTCTTTGTTCTAGAATTCCACCCATCAAACATGATTGTGCAACCATGCTGAGGCTATTTTATCTTCATTGAGGATATATGCACGTCATGCTCTTGAACCTCCTCCTCCAAATAAGAACTACTAATTTGATATCCTGTGAAGCCCTTTATCCCTAGGCCTGCATCCGCAATAGTGTCAACCATTGATTGATAGTAAGGCCCACTATCAACTGCATTAAATGGTATTGCATTGAAGAGGAAGAACTTTGAAATAACTTTTTTTTGGTTCTCACCTGAGAATCTCTTTTACTGACTTTTGTTTAGACGAAAACATGTATGGATCAATGCCATTTACAAGCACGCTGACACCTTTTTTTACACTATAGTTACGTGGTGGTCCACGCTTGATTCCTGAGCCAGATAGTTGTGATAATCCAGCACCAAAAAAGACCCTTAGTAGAACGACTACTTGCATTTGATACAGAGTGTCTTCAACCCTCTTCGTCCATCCAAGCCATTTGACGACTTTCTTTTATTGCATGCTTTAACTGTCTTCTTTTAAAATCACCTTCTTAAATTTGATTCTCACTATCATCATCCAGGTTGTAAAAATCTTCATCTCGTAATGATTGTATAATTCGTTTTTTTTTTCTTTACAGAATCCCTTTCTTCACAACAATCACTAAGATGTTGTCTCAAGAATTGTGACACTTCTTTTGGTACACGTGGACATCTTTTCACCTGGTCGGATACATGTACAATATGTTGCTTCATTCGAGTAATACTGTCATGAACTATTTTTCCACAATAGTTACTTTGTAATTCGTCGATTACCAGCAACAGGTGTTGCGTGTTTCCAACCAATGTTGTGTTGTTTAGAAGTCATTTTACAATGTCACAAATTCCAAATAATTAAATAAGTAACATTCAATTGATTGATTTCAAAATTTCAGAAATATGCAGTTCTATTTTAGTTTTTCACTTATAATTTTTTTGATTATTAAAAAAAACAATACTTGTAATATTTATTCAATAAATAAGTAATTTAAATACAAAATATTGTAGTTATAACATTTAATTTTACATAATATTAAATAGAACATATATCCACTCATTTTTTATTATAAAATATTAATGTATGTAATTATTACATTAAAGATTTTATTTTTTTCATTATTATCAAATAATACTTGTAATATTTATTCAATAAGTAATTTAAATATAAAAATAATATAATGGTAACATTTAATTTTACATAATTTGAAATATAACATGTATCCACTCATTTATTACTATAAAATATTATTTTTTGTAATTATTACATTAAAATTTTTAATTTTTTTATTATTAAAAAATAATACTTGTAATATTTATTCAGTAAATAATTAATTTAAATATAAAAATAATGTAATTGTAACATTTAATTTTACATAATTTGAAATAGAACATATATCCACTCATTTATTATTATAAAATTTTTATATATCTAATTATTACGTTAAAGATTTTAATAATTGATGAAAGAGGAAAAAATCTTTATTAATTAATGAAAGAGTCAAAACAGAATGTTGGAGGAATCAAACCAGTGACTTCCACTATGGTAATATGCGGCTCTACTCAATTGACCTATTACTTTTATATTACCTTAAAGAAAAATATAAATAGTGTTAACTTTTATGGATATGATCAGTCATCTGTTGGTAGTGACCGTGAATATCGTGGTTTTGGATACTATCAACATGAGAACCAGCCAGTACAACCTCCACAGTCATACTACTTTGATTATAGATTATCTGGTCAATCAACTCAACCAACTCAATCAGACCCGTATTCACACTTGTATTCTTATTCTTATGGTGAACATTATCATCATAATTTGTATTATCCTACAGATAATAGCGATGATTTTGAGCCTCATCGTCATTCAATGTTATAGTGATTATGGCTCAGTATGTTCTTAAATGCCTACGTTGAACATCGATAATGATAATTATTTTTGATAGTGTCTTTTATTTTTTATTTTAATTATGTTTAATGTGTTTTTGGACGGATTGTGGATATATTACGCATGAATAATGATGTTTATATTTTTAGAATTTTCTATAATTTTTAAATTTTTTTTAGAACTTATATCTAGCGTTTTGAGCGTATCAACTGATACCTCGACCGATGTGTATCAACGCTCTCCGAGTTGATGGCCGATACCGGACTTTGAACCGTAGGTTGGCTGCTAATTATAGGATACTATGGGATGCGATAACGAAGAAGATTGGATTTAAAGTGGCCTAGGGTAAGTGCTTTTTCACCACTCTAGTGATGATTAACAAATGTTTCAATTCCACCCACTTATGCGATCTTTTTCTTACGTCACAAATAATTTTATGCAGGCACCTACTATCTAGTGGATGTCGGTTACACAAATGAGGAAGGGTTCTTTGCTCCATATAGTGGTCAAAGATACCACCTACAATTGTGTTGATTGGGCAGCTGCACCTCGTAATGTTGAGGAACTCTTCAACCTTAGGCATGCAATGGCGAGGAATGTTATTGAACGTTCTTTTGCATTGCTAAAAAATCGATGGGCCATACTTGGGGTCCTTGTTACTACCTCGTAACTACACTGTATGCACACACAATCGAACCATTATTCCAGGTTGCCTATTGCATAATTTGGTTAGAAATGAAATGGTTTTTGACCTAGTAGAAGATACGTTGCCAGAAGATGCCTCGAGCGATGGTCATGGCGATGTTGAGTCGGACGTAGTCGACATGGTAGACAAATCTAATGAATGGAGTGTTTTTTAGAAACCAATTGGCTGATGATATGTACGAGTGGCGTGCAAGTAGGGGTGGTTAAATGCTTTAGTCATGACTTTTAAATTTTGTTGGTGTCATATATTATTCCAATATTGGTTTTGAACATTTCCGAATTACGCTTTACTTATTGAACTATGGGAAACATTTATGTTTTGCTACAATGCTTATTATTTTAATAATCTGTTATATACTTGTGAATATGGGTATGATATATAACATGTACGTATTTAAAAATGGCATGTCAAGTGTTGCTTGGGGGGTAGCCAAACTAAGTGTGGACCACAACACACATGGACTGCCATCGAGGAGGCCAACTAATTCACTCATTGAAAAACCTATGTGTGAATGGATGGAAGTGTCAAAAGTCGTAATATCTTCAATTGTTGGAGAACAACCTTAAGTAGAGATTTCCAGCTACTGACCTTCATGCATTGTCACATATTGAATCCAAAATTAAGGCATGGAAAAAACAATACTACACACTATTCTCAATGTTGAGCACATTTAGTTTTGGATGGAATGATTGTGCGAAGAAAGTTGATGTATATGAAATATGGCTCAAGTATCTAAAGGTGATACTTTTCCCAATCATCCTTCAATAATCTTCAACTTTAATAAATTGTTTATATTATGCATTTGATATTGAAAATTAAATTGTAGAAAGACAAGAATGTCAATGGCATGTGGGAATAATATTTGGGAAAGATAGGGCAACTAGTGAGTATGCACTGGGGTTAGAGGAGATGGTAGATGATAATTCAGATGTCGGTGATTCGCCTGTTAAAGAGAACGTTGATGCAAATGCACACTGGAAGGATGGATAAGGGGGGGGGGGGGG